TTTGAGTTTGTAGTCATGACCTCAAAATTTCTCCAATTAAAGCAGTAGATCGGGGTTTGGGCCTGGATAAGACTTGTGTTTTAACTTTAAAGATGAATTATCTTTGCTTCTCTGTATGTTTCTGTCCATGTCTTCTGTCTGTCTGAAGGGGCTCCATTGATTGTATCCAGCTGATCAATGAAGAGCACATGGTTACAGGTGGAGATGATGGGTAAGACTTTTTCACTTCAGAGCTGGATTTTATGAGAGTGCATTACTTCCATTAATATTAATCAGTATAACATTCTACACTGACTTCTTCAATTACATTTAATTATGTTTTTACCAGTGTTATTGTTAACTAAAGCTAAAACTATTAAAAATTGTTTTTGGGCATTGAAATAAAGCTGAAATAAAGTAAATATTCGGTGACATTGGTTAGTTGTCAATGACATATTTGTATATAAAAATATCTTTTTAATCTTCTTTGGTCTTTATTGTTAGTTTTAACTCCCAATATAAAAATGAAGACAAATATTACTGTACATAAATATTAGTTGCACTGTAAAATAAACAAAATGATAATTATAAAAACATTTATTTTACTCTACAAGTTACCAGTATTTTTGTCTTCAATTCTTGACTTTCAAATCCTTTATTTTATTTTATTGATTTTTTGTCAGAATGCTGGTGAAATTGTCACCTTTTATCCACAGAAATGTTGGGAATTATGGGAATGTGCAAATAAAGTGAACTAAATGTGCACTGCGTTCACAAAATGCATGTTAAATGACTTGCAGCACATACAGAGATTGAGTTTGTGAAAAGCAGCATTTACTGTGAACATATGCACATAAAGTGGGTGGAGAAAAGAATCACCCCCTTTAAAATAATCACATTTTGTTGCTTTGCAGCCTGAAATGAAGACGGACACAGTTTTGGTTTTATCCAGCTGTATTTACAGAGTGCAACTTATTACATCAAAGTGAAAGATATAACACCAGCATGTCAGAGAAAAAAAAACACAATCACAGAGTTGGAAAAAGGATCACCTCCTCCTAAAAGTGACTTGTAAACTCAATCATGTGTAGAATCACCCCCCTATACCCACTGTATGTATGTGTGTGTATGTGTGTATATATATATATATATCCACACACACACACAGTGTAAAGTAATTACATAATTATTAAATACAGTTTGAAGCAGAAAATAATTTAAAAACCTACACACACAAAACACCAACTATCACTCACGGCCAACAAACCCAGCGAACTTAAAACTACAACCGCCCGCAAACTGTCATTTTTGTCACACACACACAATTACCCTCAAGTGCAATATTACCATCATAATCTGTCCTCATTGCACTTTGACCTTGTTCACAAAGCTCTCCGCCTTCTGTATTTCCATATGAGACTGCTCTCCAAACACCTGATTACCATCAACATCATTGTGGTCCCTCCCCAGGCTCCCATAATTCAGCAGTGCAGCTGTGGAAGTGTGGGCAGGGATTCAGAGGCCTGGAGCCGCTCTTCAGCGTCCCTATGGTGAGCAGTACACATTCATACAGCTCTATTAGACTAGTTATATTAGTCCATCTGCTATTGAATCACGTCCTATTGTGTGTGCAGTACTTCATCTGGAGAGGATGAATAATGTATCAGTTCATAATACCACTGTTTTTCACAACTGCACAGTGTCAGATGCACGGCTCTTACAGTAAGTGTAACCTGCAGGATAATGAATGCTAATAAACTTTTATTATTTCTCTTTTAGAGTGGATTTGTGAACAGTCTGAAGTTCTCAAACTCTGGGAAGTTTCTTGTGGCAGGAGTTGGACAGGAGCACAGGTGAAGTAATTTTAAGGGTAGTGAAGAAGTCATTTTGCAATTATCTGCCAATTGAAAGAAATTGTCATTTCATATAGTGCCATTTGCAAAATCTAATCATTCTTTTGTCAGTCAATAGTGCACATTTTCTATTTTCCGATAATCTTTAGTAAATTCAGCAACTGCAGCAAAATGATTCAGCAATTTTGTTTTTATTGGTCATTTAATTGTGTGTCTATGTATGTATGTATGTGTGTGTGTGTGTGTGTGTGTGTGTGTGTGTATATATATATATTTAAATTTACTAATATAATTAATATAACATGTTAATTTTTTTTTTTTTGTATTTGTTAATTACAATGTGTGTATTTTCAAGGGCATAATTTTATGCAATAACATTGTACTACAACTAGATGGCACTAATGTGAAGTGAATTGGTTCTTTACACATTTCATCATGTTGACTTTTTAAGTTCAGTTTATCTTTTTTGTCTTTTTCAGATTGGGCCGATGGTGGAGAATAAAGGAAGCTAGGAACGGACTATATATCATTCCTCTTAAAAGACAAGCTCAAGAGCAAGAAGTTGTCCTGTAATGTGCTCTGATCCAGGACTTTAATTTGGTATCAAAGAACTTTTGGTTGCTTTTTTTTTTTTTTTTTAACACATGTAAAAGAGGAGCTTTTGATTAAATTGAGTTTATCAGTTTTGCTGCTCATTAGAGCTCCATATACAAGCACAAAATTGTTATTAGCGGTACAGTCCTTACATTTTTAACTCAAATGAAATGCATTTATTGATAAACCTGTGAGTCAAATGAAGACTTCAATTATTTTTAAAAAATAATTTATTTACATATATTACAAGTATAACACTGACCGGTTCACCAAAGTTCACATTAAAACATCTGTATTGTTACCTACTTTTTCCAAAACTCACCACTAAGAATTTAATGCAAGTTCAAAAAAGGGAAATACAGAATATAGTTAGTTTTTTTTTTTGTTCATCTTGCAATAACACCTAAACTATTCCATGAGGACCAAACGTGAGACTTTTTACCACAACACTAAAAGGACGATAAACTCGTATCCAAATGAAATTGGACTATTTTACCACCAAACTAAAATGAGACATTGGTTACAGTCTCCACTTTACTGAGAATACTGCATCTAAAATCACATACCCTGGGGTAAAACAAAAATGTTAATATATTTTGTGCAAGTTTCATTGGTGCTCAAGGTCCTGTGGTTGCAGTAATCACGAGACTTAAACATTCGTATATCATGCCTTTTCCCAACAATGACTCGTTGAAGTCCAACAAAATACAGTTATAAAGACTGAGAACTCAGTCTATGGTTAACATTACTTAAGACTAGTCAATTTATTTTGTAGTGTACATCAATCTGGGCACATATTGCCAAGTCTAGCATCATGTTTCTTCAAAATAGCTTCCATTCCTGTGTCAGGTGGCTTTAAATCTACTAGACTAGTACATTGGCACATGGGATTTATAGTTACATTTACAATGGGCCTTGTTCTTTCCAAGCTCTTGATCATAAAGAATAGCTTTATTGTGTAACTGAAAGACAAAAACATGCTTGATCAGATAGATTATTTTTTTATATTTTCCAGGACAAGATAAGTAGATGAACTGCGATTGATGATGACTGTTGACTGCAAATACGCAATTAGAGTATCAAATGAAGAGGAAGAGTCTAAGAAATTGCATTCAATTCCTGATTTTGAAGATGAGATATAAAATTGGCACCATCTTGATTGTTCATCTTCACAACGATGATGTTGTAGAGTCCACCACCTCTCGCCCGTTACACACGGTTGGCACTATAGTAGAGGCTGAAGCTGTGGAAATTGTTTGGTTTTAAGTTGTTGATCAGAAAAAGGCAAATAAATAGTGACCAATAACCATTAGCTTAAGCTTTAGGAGGGAGTGTGGCTACCTTGTGAGTAGGTGGAGCTCGGGGCGGTGGCTGCTGTGGAGAATCGGTTGTCTTTGGCCCTCAGATTGGTCACATTCTTCTGAGGCTGGAAAAGGATGATGTGGATTTTGGGGGCAAAGAGGCAGCCAAGTACCACAGAGCTGCTCAGACTGACAGAGATGCACATGGTAGTGGTCTGCACCTGTATCAGCATGAAGAGGTTTTAAACATGTTCAGATAAGTGTGTCTTTTAACTGTTTGTTACCGAATACTTGGGCAACTCTGTTCAAACCTTTAATGTGAATCTCAAAAACCCCTTCAAAGCCTTGGTAGATTTCATCAGAAAAGGAAAATGAAAAACATTTGCATAAAATGAAGCCTATTTTAGGACCATAAAGAGGATTTGAGGTGAAATAGGCTATGACCTGTTTTTGATTGATACACCTCATTCTGTATTCATTCTTAATACTGTTTACTGCATGCACATCTCCTGTATACCATGGTACCACCAAGTGATTACTAATTTCACGTATCATTGTGTTTACATTGGTACTTCAAAGAGTGCCATGGAAATACCAAGAGACATGTCCAAAAATTGGTATTACCATAGTATTATGTACAAATAACATCTGGTAATACCAAATATAATATTTCAGTATCAGTATATATCAGTGTTATAAAGTCGTCTTTGTGAGATTTAAAGTCCAATAGTGAGATACTGGTGAGAAAGTCAAATTTGTGAGACTTAAAGACACTGCGAGATATAAAGTTATTATTATAAGAAACAAAGTAGCAGTTATGAGATATAAAGTCACAATTGGGAGATCTAAAGTTGCAATTATAAGGCAAAAACAGGTCATATTTGTCGGCATACATCATCAAGGATGTCTCATTTCAGAAAAGTAACCATTATAAAATTGACTACTATTTGTTGATGGTATTACCATAGTATTATGTACAAATAACATCTGGTAATACCAAATATAATATTTCAGTATCAGTATATATCAGTGTTATAAAGTCATCTTTGTGAGATTTAAAGTCCAATAGTGAGATACTGGTGAGAAAGTCAAATTTGTGAGACTTAAAGACACTGCGAGATATAAAGTTATTATTATAAGAAACAAAGTAGCAGTTATGAGATATAAAGTCACAATTGGGAGATCTAAAGTTGCAATTATAAGGCAAAAACAGGTCATATTTGTCGGCATACATCATCAAGGATGTCTCATTTCAGAAAAGTAACCATTATAAAATTGACTACTATTTGTTGTGAGGTGTAAATTATTGTAATTTCTTTCTCACTTTGAAATGTAATGGCTACTTGTCAGCCTCAATGACGTATGTGGCTGACAAATGTAACCTTTGGAGGGCGCATCTTTCAAATTAGACACAGCAATTGTATTTTCATATTGTTTATTTCAGAGATCTTCGACCCTGCTGTTGGACATCCACTGTCCTGCAAAGTTGAACTCTAACCCTAATTAAACACACCTGAACCAGCTAACCAAGGTCTTCAGGATCAGTTGACAATCACAGGCAGATGTGTTGAAGCAGGACACAAATAAACTTTGCAGGACAGTCTTCAGGAGCAGGGTTTATTCAGGCAGAGAACATCCCAAGCCAAAAAGTCACTCATTATGTTTTAAAGGTGGTAAAATAAATCACTTAAATCTGTTTCCTGACACTTAACCTTTAGGTCCCATCTCCTCTCCCTCCAAAGGTTAACTGGATGACACTACATAGCACTCCAGCAGCACTGATATTGACAGCACCAAACTCATCGTTGTATAATTCTCTGTGGATTCTCTGTGATTGTGTTGTAAAATTGCCACTCTCAGCCAGGGGGCATTCTTGATGACCGTGTTTACCGTGTCACTAACTGAGCTCTGACATCTCTTGCCCCACAGTGATGAGAGTCTCCTGATAACATGCGACAAGCAGCCCTCATCCCTCAGATAGTGTTTCTCTATCGACTAGACATTCACATCGCTGCGCTGTGTTTGACCTGGCACTCTAAATTTGTCTGGTTAAAAGAGACAGAGGCCAGCTCTAAAAGTAATATCATGTTTGGTGTGATTACTTGCAGAAAACGTCAAGACTAAACTGACTCTTGAGTTATATGAGAAGGCAGAATCTTAAAAAGTATATTTTGGCATATCTGTCGACTGTTTCTGTTTTCTCAATAAGCAAAATCATAGAACCACTCCTATTTAGCTGCCTTTTGTAATTAGCATTATCTCCTTAAACATGATCAAGGGTGTTTTGCCCTGTGGTAGTAGGGACAGGGTGCGAACTACGGGGGAGCTCGGCTCCGCTTAATAAGACATGGGCTCCCCTGAAAACGTGATTTGTGAAGTTTTGGGGGGTCTCAAATAATATTGACTGTGTTATTTTGACGTGCAATTTCAGTTTTGTGTAATGTGATCATCGTGGATTATTATGTGTAAAGTTGCAAAAATATTAATTCATGCATGACGGTGATTTAAACCTAATTCACTTCAATAAAGATAACTATACATGCTATTCTTGTCATGAGCATCAAGGTGTGGGGGCACTGCGGTGCAAATTCTACTCAAGTTTAGTACATGTTAACTCAAAGATTCGTAGAAAAAATATAAACGTTGGACTCTGGTCGATTCTGTGTTAAGGTAAGGCATGTTACAATTATGTGTTGTGGCTGGGGTGTTATAGGTCTGCGTGACTCTCGATGTCTTAGGCCTAATTGAACGGAGGAATTATGGTATTAATACTATCAATTTGTGTCGATAATGTATAATAGGGTAAATCCTGTATAGTGATTTATCCTATATAGTGCTTGCATAAAGCAAGTAGCGCATACACTTGTAGCTGTTATGTATCTTTGTAATTCATTGTAAGCCCCCTTTTGAGGCACGCCCAAGGGCACAAAACCCCCCCCCCAAAGAGCCCGTTATAAAAAAAACAACTAGTGGGCTCCCCCAAAGTCCACGGTATAGTTCGAACACTGAGTAGGGGTATTCGCTGCATAGACTTACTTATTACCACTTTTTCATGAGTATTGCTTTTTGTAGATATCCATTTGGATCGATGTGTGCAGGTTTGGGAAGTATCTCTTTAACATAAGAGTCACAGTAAAGACAGCCTTGTGTAGCCAGACATTTATCTACTGGCAAAAAGTCTGGTCCATTTTGCAGCTTGGTCTAGCTCAGGGGTAGGCAAGTTCGGTCCTAGAGAGCCGCAGTCCTGCAGAGGTCAGCTCCAACCCTAATCAGACACACCTGAACAAGCTAATCAATGTCTTCAGGATTACTAAGGCTATAGGCAGGGGAGTTTTTTTTTCCGGGTTGGAGCTGAACTCTGCAGGACTGTGGCTCTCTAGGACCGAACTTGCCTACCCCGGTCTAGCTAAAGCCGGGCTCACACTGCGATTTTAATAGTCCTTTGCGATTGTTGCTTGTCACACTATATGAACATAATCCCCATGTCACACTGTAGGATCACAGTTGTCATAATGTCAGACTGTACGCCAGTCAAGACACGACAAAAACAGACGTACACAAGAAGACTTGTCCGGAGTTTTACGTCATCAATCCGTGACCCGTGTTCTCTCGCTATAATGGTAGGTAGCAAACAAAAGCAATATGTAGCGTTAGTTTTGTTAATTACATGCCTTGATAATAAAAACTGACGTGTGTGGAGCAAGTCATGGCTGGGCAAAAGAAGACTTTATGGACTTCCAGTTCTACAGAGCAAACTTGAGGTAATTTTGTTATTCGAG